GGAGAGGTCTGCCACACCATGTGGTCACCTCCGGGGCAGGCGGGAATCGAACTCATGCGGAAGCGGCTTTAGCTTCTCAGTGCTGTGCTTTAACCGGCTGCGCCACCAGGGAGGGCCCACAGGATGAATTTCTAAATAAAAAAGCAAGCAAATCTTTAATGAGGTCCTATTATATGCAAGTCACTGGTGGCAAATTAAAAAAGAAAATAGAATCCTATTCCCATTGAGAGAAAGTTGGCGAATCTAAATGAGAAATGAAGGCCCACATAAGGAATATAAAGAAGTAAAGGAAGTAACTAAACAACGGTACATGTTGTAAATACTAGTAATTCAAGGTAAGAAAGAATTTTGTTTTTAAAAATTTTAGAGTTTTCATAAGCATCTCTAGGAACTCATTTCTTTCTTAGCTACTATCTGTTAACATTATGTATCAATGATAGGGAGTAGGATAAATTATTTCAGAGATATTTTGATAGGTTCATAATAAGAATTATCAAAACCTAGCACTATATTTTTATTTGTTCTTTTTTATATAGCTTTCCAAAAGTAAAAATAACTAATTATAAAATAGGAGGCAAATAATTTGTATTCTTTTTTAGGATAGGGGTTCTCTGACTTTAAGCATTTTCTTCAGTGTGCATTGGTGAAGTCTGGCTGTAACCCATTTATGTGTATAGCGAAAGGGTCTTCTACATATGCTTACTGTGGTATGATATGGGACAAATAAGACTTGTGTTCAAGTCCTTAATAGTCACATTCGCTCTAGTTTCATCTGGCAGTGAAGGCCTGTACCACATGTTCAAAGATCCTTCCAACTCCCTCTGAAGATATTCAGAAATGAGTATCAGAGAACAAAATTTCCAAAGTCAGGTTGTTTCTTGTTGAAAGTCCATGATTGTTAATGAATTGCTGGATTTGTAAATTTTATTTAAAATTTAAATCTTGGGGGCCCTCCCTGGTGGCGAAGCGGGTTAAAGCGCTGTTCTAAGAATTTATTTCCAGTTCAGCATGAGTTCGGTCCCCGCCTGCCCTGGAGGTGACCCACATGGCATGGCAGACTTCTCCTGACCCGCCTGCTGCTCTCCTCAGCAGTGTACTTCATCAGTCAGCCTATTCTGCTCCCTACTGTGTCTCTGGTGAATCTGTAACTGGGTGGTCCCTAGGAGAAGGGAAGTTCCAGGTTCCCTGCCCCACCCAGAAGGAGGGTGGAGCTGAGCAGAGAAAAAGGAGAAAGGAGAAGAGAGAAGGAAGCGAGATGGAGAAAAAGACGGAGACCTAAGGAAGCCACATGGAGCAGCAAGCATGTGATGAAGAAACCATGCTTGTTTCCTGGTCCTGGACTGGTTAAGGCAGATGTGGGTGAGAGACCTGTACGGAGGTGACTATGGCAGTGTTCATATTGATTTTGATTTTGCTCTTTTCCTCCCAGATTTGTCTGTCCATTTCTGACTCATTTCTATGAGTCCCAGCCAGAAGGTGCTTTAGTCTTGTGGCAGGCTTTCAGGCCTTGCTTTGGGCCAATCCCTTTTGGGTTGACTTTTGCCCACGAGGGGAAGGGTAACTTCAGGTGTTTGATTTAGAAGTTATATTCTTTGTGTTCCATATTGTATATTCACTGTATTAAAGTCACTTTTCATTAAAGTTTTATATGTTTTGTCTTGTTGCGGCGGATGGCAGAACCCACTTAGAGCAGGCAGGTTTTGGGGCTTCAGGGGTGTCCCTCTCCCCCTGCCCTCTAACAGAATTGAGGTGCCCTATAACAAATCCTCTCACTGCCCCTGCATCTCTGGCCTGTACCCCAGTTCTGTATGCATAAATATATTTTTTTAAAAATGTAAATCTTAGGGTTTGGAATTTTGAGATATCAAATGTTTACCAATTTTGATACTTGAGGCTACTTTGATTATATAATGCAACTTTCCTTTAGTAACTGAGAAGAGCAACACATTGACAAAATAGCATGGTATTTTATTCAATGTTCTGAGTACTTACTATGTATCAGAAACTGTAAAAAGCACTGAGGACACAGAATTAATATATGATTCCTGTCCCCCATGTTTTGGGTGCATTGAAGAAGAAACCATAATTATAAACACCAGTTAGAAGGTCACTATAGTCAATCACTTATAAATCACAACACACTGCTTCCCTGTTTTTAGTATCTCCTATTAAATAAAAAACTGTCTTTCACTATTCAGTATGCACTGTGTCAAACTGAAAAACAAGTTAAAGATTTGTTTGAACAAAGGCAAGAAAACATCCAGGGATTCATAAAGGAAGTTAGGCTTGTTTATTGAGCTCTTTGACACTCGTACTTGAGAAAGTGGACGTCATAGTATTACAAGGCAGGGAGAGCCCCAAACCTGCCTGCTCTAAGTGGGTTCTGGATCCACCACATCAAGATAAAACATATAAAACTTTAATGAAAAGGGACTTTAATACAGTAAATATACAACACAGAACACAAAGAATATAACTTCCAAATCAAACAACTTAAGTTACCCATCCCCTCGTGGACAAAAGTCAACCCAAAAGGGATTGGCCCAAAGCAAGGCCTGAAAGCCTGCCACAAGACTAAAGCACCTTCTGGCTGGGACTCATAGAAATGGGTCAGAAATGGCCAGACAAATCTGGGAGGAAAAGAGCAAAATCAAAATCAATATGAACACTGCCATAGTCACCTCAGTACAGGTCTCTCACCCACATCTGCCTTAACCAGTCCAGGACCAGGAAACAAGCATGGTTTCTTCATCACATGCTTGCTGCTCCATGTGGCTTCCTTAGGTCTCCGCCTGGCTCCCTATCCTGCTTCCTTCTTCTCCTCTTCAGATTCCTTCCCCTCTCTTTTTTTTCTCTGCTCAACTCCACCCTCCTTCTGGGTAGAACAGGGAACCTGGAACTTCCCCTTTTCCTGGGGACCACTCTTTTACAATAGGTTTTGAGCAAAAGTAACAAAATGTATGACAAGAGTTTTGTAAGTGCAAATTTTCGGTACAATTGGACAGGCAAGGAGATCAGAAACAAACTGTGAGCGAGGCAAGGAGATCAGAAACAAACTCAGCTGCAAAATTAATTTTTAGAAAAGCGACTACCTAGATTGGGAACTGTCACTAGTGTGGTGCTCTCCACTGAGATGCACTATAATCTCACTACCAGGCCAAAGGCAACGTCATCTTTCCAGACCTTTCTGTCGCTACTGCCAGAACCATTACGGTGCACAACAGACTACACTGAAGGAGCCAGAGGGTCCACCTGCCAGCCAATCGCTAACAAGCTCTCTCCCTAGCATCTGGCCGATAGCTGGCTTCCCATTGGGAAGCCTTGGGCATGGGCGGCTCCTGATTGGCCTAGAGGAGGGGCGGGAGAGAGGCGTGCCCCATGGCACACCCGCCCCTACAGTGTCTTTGTAGCTTAGGATTATGGGAGGGTGGGGACGTCCTAGATAAGAAAATAAGCCCGAACGACCTTGCGTGCCTGGGCAGACGCTCCTCCTGAACTGGGGTCTTCAGCAGTGCACGGAACAAGCCCCACCACCCCGCCCCTTCCGCTCTGGAAGATCAGGTGACCACCCGCCGGCTGGGTCACGTGACCGGGGCGCGGCCGCCCGTTGTGGCCATGGCGGCCGCAGGCTCCAGTGTGGCGAAAAGAGTGGAGGAGCTCGGGGATCTGGCTCAGGCCCACATACAGCAGCTTAGCGAAGCGGCGGGCGAAGACGGTGAGGGAGCGGAGGACAGGGAGGCTGGCGGGCGGCGGGCTGTTCAGAGCTGGCGGCAATCCGCGGCAGCAGGGGCTGCGGCCTGTGTTCTATGCAGAGCCTAGGCGGGAGCTACGGAAGGTGTTGTGCTTCTGGTGCCCGGGCGCCTTCGGTTGTCTTAAGCAAAACGTTGCCTTCAGCAGAGGCAATTGCCTCGCAACAGCATTTTTCATTCATTACCTATGGAAACCGCTTACATTCCAGTCAAATCACTGCCTTTTGCCTGTAACTCGCGGTCGAGATTGGGTAAAAGGCAAAACCTGCACGAAAGTCCATATAAAAATTTAAGTGAATGGTTAAAACTCAAAAGTACGTAAATGATTGTTTTGCATGCCGTCAAGATAATCGAGGCGAGTGTAACATCCAGATTTTCATTGTTGCGTTGTAAATTTCTGCCTTGTTTTGAATTCTAAACTGTAAATAATATTGAACAGAAAGGTTTTACATTAGTGTAATTTTTAGAGATTACTTTGACATACAGCTCACTTCTGCTGTCGTTATTTGAAAACTTCTTTTGGAAATGTTTAAATGATTACCTTAGGAAAAATTGACTTAAGAGTATTACCTCCAGTTTGGATTTTAAGTTTAAATTCTTTTTCATTACTTCGCAGTTGCCTGTAGGTTCTACATTACAGTATTTCTGCACTTAGAACCTGTGCTACAGATAGGTTTTTAAATTCTTGTCGACTTGATTCTTATCACAGGAAAATAGTGGACATTTTCATAAGCGATTGAATAGTTGAGGAATCTGTTAAATAGGGCCTATAATGAAATGGCTCTAGCTACAGTGAAGATTTGCCAGATTATCTTTTCTTAAAACTATGTTCTTCAAGGGGATCAAAAGGGGGGTGGGGTGGGTAGTGTACTGGATTATGGTGATGTCACATGGGTGATTTGGTGATGGGAAGCCCACGGGATTACAACTGAGATGGAAAAAGGCACAAAATGATGTAAAAATAAACAATTATTTTATTTTTAAAAAGAAACAAACTATGTCCTTCAAAACCCAAAGCCTAACCTGAAGCCAACTTGCTTTTTTGGTTTGTAAATGAATCCCAGGATTCACATGATTTGCTTGTTTTTGGGGATGATAGTAGCTATTACCTGGAAGTGTATCTAAGTTTCCTCTAAATAAGCCATTGACCAATCTGCAGCTTGCTGTACTTTCATTTGAACCAGCCTTAAGAGGTAAAAGAATGCTTTATATTCACTTATTCAACCCAAACACCTGCTCATTTTCCTTAACAGTTTTTAATCCAGTCTAGAATGAGGACTGGAAACAAAAAGTGGTGGGTATTCTTGCTTGGGGGCTTTAAAGTTCTGGAAATATACTAAACTTTTAGCAGTTCATATTATAAGCTACTTTATTAATATTGCTAGCAAGAGTGTCTTACTTTTTTAAGTTTATTTAAAAGATAGTTGCACATATTTGAAATGAACTTGGCATTCATTTCCCACACAACAATGTGTCCTTTAATGTAACAGCTGTTTTTATTAGGCTATCAAGATTGCTGGTTCTCATTGTCTGCTTCAAATTGGATAAGCTACAACCAGACATCATTTTATATTGGAATGCTCTCCTTTTTATTTATAATCAGTTTAGTTCATTTATTTTCCAATATAAGGACAATATGTTTACTACATAGAAATAGTCCATGGATGGACTTTGTCCAGGGGTCATGTAAGAATCACTGTTTTTACCTTACCATTATTACTTTGAATGACTCTAGCAAAAATGCTGTATATTATAAACATATTCCAAAATGTAGGGCATCTCTTCCCCTCTCCTCATCCCCTGCAGTATTTATGTCATGAGTTTGAAGCTGGACTTTACATATAAAATAGTACTGCAAGCTAAAGAAAAAAATAATTAAGTTTAATCTTTTAAGCACTATGTAAGTGGCACTGTTTTCCATGTACTTTTAGTTCATAATAAAACCTTTTTCTTGGGTTGTGAGGATACTTCTGGACTAACAAAAGATTGGGGAGAAGTAGCTTTCAGGTCAGGTGAACAGTGAACCTTATAACAATTAGAGTCTGATCTGCATACAGCATAGCCCTTTTGGGAAATCCTACAAGGGCATCTTATAACTGATATAACTTAGCTGATGCTGCCTTTACCCCAGCACTGGACAAGTTCTGTAACTGGGTCAGATCGTTAGGCCTGCACCAAGTGCCATATTTTCTGACTTGACTAACTTCAAGAGGAAAGCACTAAAATACAACTGGAAGTGCTGGTGTCCTAATGGTGGCATCTTTAAATTTAACCACATGGAATGATACAGAAGGATGGATAGCACTTTGGTATGGACACTTTCTAGGTTAGGGAGAAAAATCCTCAAGAAAAAGGGAACCCATGGAAGCAAAGGGAATATGACATTAGAGAAAGAGAATATACTAGATGACTGTAGTGGGGCAAGAGGTCAGATGTGTTTAGAGGGCATAATGAATAGATTTATATCTACATTTTGAGGAAATGAGGTAATTTGTTTTACTTCTAGTTTTTTTTTTTTTTTTAAGATTTGTTTTTGCATACAAGAACTGGGGTACAGGCCAGAGGTGCTGGGATGCGAATTCACCAGAGATGAAAGTGGGGAACAGAACAGGCAGTTTGACTGAATTACACAGTTGAGGGGACAGGGGAGGTCTGCTGCACGATGTGGGTTACCTCCCTGGCTGGGATTGAACTCATGCTGCAGTGGCTGCAGATAGCTTCATAATGCCGTGTGTCAGTAAACCCTTGGGCTACCAGGGAGGACCATTGTTTCTTCTAGGTTTTTAAGGAATCAAATTTGTAGATGGGTTATGTATTTTAATTGTAGCAGCCATTTATGTATGTAAATACTACTGTAATTATTCAGAGCATTCATTTTTTTCTGAGACCTGATTGGTTTGTGTTTTTTCAGAAAATACATTTATGAAATTGCAATTATTTAGTGCAAAGCCCTTTCTATATATTATCTGTGCTGTTCCAATAAAAAATTTAACTTTATTACTTAAACACAAGTATGTCAACATCATAAAAGAAATATTAGAAAGTACCCATCACATTCAAGAAATGGCAACTGAACCTAGAAAGTTTTCACTCTAACTTTCCGAAATAAATGTCTGATAAATTTGCGTATGTAGGAGGCATTATGATACTTTTACAGGAGATCTTACTACTGTGCTGCTTCTCTAGTGCTCTGGCATCATTCCATCTTTTCAGATAAATAACATATTTTAAAGTAACATTCTGAAACTATTAATGTAATCACCATGTTTTTATCTTTTACAGATCATTTTTTAATTCGGGCCTCTGCAGCTTTAGAAAAATTGAAACTCCTGTGTGGAGAAGACAAAGAATGTTCAAATCCATCAAATCTTCTAGAACTTTATACACAGGTACTGGCTTTGGGAGGGAAGCACAGCGGGACAAATCGAGATGTTCTGTAGGCAGATTGCTTGTTCAGATGGTTGACTCCAAAGTTTAGATGTCATGAAATCAGTTTATATTCTACTTTAAGTGTTTAATTTTGTTTAAAAACCTATTTTCAAAACATATAATGTTCAAAATTTGAGGCATTATGCAAAGAACTGAGATTTATTAAATAAGCTGACAAAAAAATGGGGGGAAATATCTTACAGATAACATCATTACTTCTCTTTGTAGATAATAAGCCAAACACTTAATGTGTTCCATTTCTGAGCTTTTGGATGTTATTCAGTAGCATGGAGGACCTTTTTTTCTTTTTTAAATGTATTTTTTTATATCATTCTTCATTTTGTGCATTTTTTTCTTCTTGGTTGTAATCCCTGTGGATTTCCCACCACCAGTTCACCCATGTGCCATCACCATAGTCCTGTGTGCTCTTCTGACCCCAGTTGTGATCCTGTTCCCTCCTCTGCCCCCATAGACTGTCTCTGGTTTATAGTTTGTTGATTTTAGTTTTTACTTTTTTCCCCCTCTGATCACACTCCTGCTAGGAGTGAAACCATCTAGTGTTTTTCCTTTTTTTCTGGCATATTTCATTAAGCATGATCCCTTCCAGCTCCATCCATGTTGCTGTAAAAGGCATGAGTTTCTTTTTTGATTTCTGAGTAATATTCCATTGTGTATATGTACCACATCTTTTTAATCCAGTCATCTTTTGGGCACTTGGGTTGATTCCATGTCTTTCCTATTGTAAATAAAGCAGCAATAAACATGGGAGTGCAAGTGTGGTTTTGAATCAGTGTTTTTGTGTCTTTTGGGTAGATACCTAGGAGTGGGATTGCTGGGTCATATGGAAGCTCCCTGTTTAGCACTTTAAGAAACCTACATGGAGGACTTTTTATAAGGTCTCATTTTTTTTTTTTTACTGAAATTCTTTTCTTAAGAGTCGCAGTGTCACTTAAGTTCATTAGAATTTTCTGTTGCTGTCTCCACTATTTTTTTCTTTTCTTTTGAACTCAAGCCTCTCTATGGACAAGACCTATTTTCTTGGTTTTCTCAAACATTGTTGAGGCAAAGTTGACACTGAGAGATACATCATTATTGTATCTAAATTTCAGATAGCATTTTATAGTTGATAGATTGCTTCATATACTCCTACTTGATTGCTAAAGTATAATAAAGTGATTATAGAAAGTGTATAGTAAAATGTTTCCTTTCATTTCTTCCTCTGCCCCTGTCATGGGTACCAGCAGCTCTGTCTGGGAGGAGGGGCATCTGCCAGGCAGCACAGATTGGAAATAACTCACCCCCCACCCACCGCCTGGGTTCTCCTAGAGGAGGTCAGTTGCCTGAGGTGGAGAGCAAGAAGGAGCCTAGTGAGGTTGTCAACTAAACCTGCTCCTGTAAAAGTGGGAGCCCAGAAAAACGGCAGGAAAGGATAAGTCTTCAAACAGAAATGTGTTGGCAAATGGCTAAGGGGAACAAAGGGATAAGCAGGTCAAACTGGCTAGCCAGTACTAAAGAAGACTGCAGAGGATAGGAATCTAAAAATAAAAAGCAGTGGCATCCAGCCCCCGATGATGCAAGAGGGAAGGTAGCCAAATCTGACTAATAACATGTACCACATCTTATCAGTGCTTCCTGGCTCCCTTGTATAACCCAGAGGAATATTTTAATCAAATGTTTTGTAATGCAAGCTTCTGAATAGCTCTTAAGCATTTTCAAGAGGGAGTGAAATCAATCTCACCATTTTTTTTTTTTTTTGTACATACAGAACTGGGGTACAGGCCAGAGGCTCAGGGGTGGCGAGAGGCTTCACCAGAGACAGAGTGGGGAACAGAACAGGCAGATAGACAAAGTACACTGCTGAGGGGAGCAGCGGGCGGGTCAGGAGAGATCTGCCACGCCATGTGGTCACCTCCGGGGCAGGTGGGAATCGAACTCATGCGGAAGCGGCTTTAGTTTCTCAGTGCAGTGCTTTAACCCACTGCGCCACCAGGGAGGGCCAGTCTCACCATTTTTAAAGTATAAATAGTTTTTTTCTAAGAGGAGAAATCATTTGATCATTGGGATATAGAATATGGATGCTTTGTCCTGGGTGACTCCTTAACTTTTTCATAGATGGTGATTCCTTCATATCCCATTGTACAAAGCATCTTGAATGGCGATTTGGAGTCACAGTCATGTCTTTAATCTTGAACATTTCAAATTATTTGTATTCCTGTGTTGGTTTTGGTAGGATTATTTCCTTTTTTTTTTTTTTTTTTTAAAGATTAAGACATTTACGCATCTAAGAACTGGGGTACAGACAGGTGCAGAAGGGAGAGGATTCACCAGAGACAAAATGGGGAGCAGAACAGGCAGATTGACTGAAATACATTGCTGAGGGGAGCAGCGGGTGGCTCAGGAGAGGTCTGCTGTGCTATGTGGGTCAACTCTCTGGTCAGGGATGGAGCTTGTACTCCAGTGGCTTTGGAGCGCTTCTTAGTGCTGCACTTTAACCCACTGCACCACCAGGGAGGGCCCTGTTTTTGGTAGAATTGTTTCCTAAAGAAAACCACTCGTTGATCTTGGCTCTCTGCAACACCTTGCACACTGTAACAGCTGCTGTGCTGGTGGTCCTTCCTGATGTTTGTGTTGTGAATGACTGAAAATTTGAGTATGTTGGTGTCTATACTAAACTGAATTATTAGTACTTAACATGTAACAACATGACAGACAGTTGAAGATATTGATACTGATATCTAGTTAAGGACAAATTGTCTCTAAACTTGAAGCTGGAAAGTCTTTAGAATAACTTTTTACAAAAGAGTCATAATTAACATGATTTTCAGGTTTTTGGTACTGACTAAAAGTATATGTACAACTGAAGTGTGTATGTATTGATCCTCAGAACAACCAGAAAGTCTTATGAAAGTAATTGTTTCCAGCAGCTCTTAGATGCCTGGCACTGTGCTGTGAGGAAGTACTTAAAGATGGCTTCTGCCTTCAAAGGTCATAGTTGGATGAGCCTGTAAACACTCAAAAACCTCCAAGAATAACAGCTACTCACAGACCCACAGAGCTGTTGTAATTTGGCAGAGCTTTGCCTGGCTTTCTGTGTATGTGTGTGTGTACCCTACACAGTTTTGAGTCAAAAGTTCTACTTCTAAAGGGTAATGATCTTCTCTTCCTGACTTGGACTTTCACACACTTAGTACTTAGTACCTAGCTGTGTGGTAGGTAATGTTCTAATTCTTTATGTGTCTTAACTCAAAGCAAGGGGCTTTAAAAGGCATTTAGTCCAATTTCTTTTTTTTAACCAATTAAAAAAATGAGACTCGAGAAGATAAAATTAACTTGCTTAATTAGTAAAGTGATTAATGGTAGAACTGACAATGGGACCCAACTTCCTTGTTTTTAGTCCAATAGAAAAAAGATTGGATATTTTTATGGTACCTGAACAGAGCATCTTGAATATTGCAATGGTAGGAATGTAATATTTGAATTGCTTAATGTTGTTGATATGTTGCTGTAGCAGGGTATATAAACCCCATCTGTTAATTTGCATCTGGGAGAAAAACCCTTCTAACATTCAGTATACATTAACCTGATACAACAAACTTGCAGAAATGCGCGGTGTATACACAGTATATGTAAATAGCAACGAATATAATAATTATTTTTTAAAGATTATATTCTATAGGGTTAATTCACCTTAATTAAAACATTTCCATATTCTTTTTTGAGGGAAACAAAATTATCACTAGTTCAGTATTTTACTAAAATAATCTATAGCTTCTCAGCCCAAATGCCCAAAAATGGATGACTGGATTAAAAAGATGTAGTACATGTACATAATGGAATATTACTCAGCAATCAAAAAAGAAACACCTGTCTTTTGCAGCCACATGGATGGAGCTGGAAGAGATCATGCTTAGTGAAATAAGTCAGAAAGAAAAGGAAAATACTGATGGTTTCTCTCATAGCAGGAATATAATGGAACAAGCGAAAAAATGATGATGAATAGCTATCTACCAGAGACATTTTGTGGGGATAGAGTGGGGAATGGGATCAGAAACAGTGTGGGGAGGGAAATGCACTGGACTTTGGTGATGGCATACGTATGGGTGATTTGGTGATGGGAAGCCTGAGGGGATTGCAACTGAGATGGACAAATGCACAAAGTGATGTAAAAATAAACTATTATATATATATATATAAATTCTAAAGCAGATTATTAAATATTCTAAGAATTCTATACTAAATTAAAAAAGTCTAGGGCCCTCCCTGGTGGTACAGCGGGTTAAAACACAGCACTGAGAATCTAAAGCCACTTCCGCATGAGTTCGATTCCCACCTGCCCCGGAGGTGACCACATGGCGTGGCAGACCTCTCCTGACCCGCCCGCTGCTCCCCTCAGCAGTGTACCTAGTCCATCTGCCTGTTCTGCTCCCCACTCTGTCTCTAGTGAAGCCTCTCACTGCCCCTGAGCCTCTGGCCTGTACCCCAGTTCTGTATGAATAAATAAATAAATCTTTAAAAAAAAAAAAAAGTCTATAGTTTCTAAGAAATCCCTCAGATTTTGTTTATACTTATTGCCTATGTTGTAAACTTAAATGTGCTAGATTTAAATGTCTAATAAAACACCTTTATGCATAAAATTAAACTGTAAACATTCAATTTAAATTATTTATTGATACTTGTGTCCTCATTTACTTTAGGCTATTTTGGACATGACATATTTTGAGGAGAATAATCTAGTAGATGAAGATTTTCCTGAGGATTCTTCACAGAAAGTAAAGGAACTGATTGATTTTCTTTCCGAACCAGAAATACTAGTTAAAGAAAACAATTTGCATCCAAAAGTAAGTTTTGGACTCCTTTGCTGCTAATTCTTGCTTTATTGATTGTTAGAATTTACATTTTTTTCTTCTTGAATGTATCTTTGTTTTAAATTAAGAATGAAGAAGGAGATAGGAGAGGCTTTAGGTTAATGTCACAACCAAAGTATCACATTTTGTTAGCTATGTTTCAGAGTGTTTGCATGATGGAGTTGTACAGTATTAATAATTATAGTACCTAATCATTTTCCAAACACAGGTAGTTATTTTTTCTGCTCCATTCACTTTTGCAGATGTTTGTTTTCTTGAATGGCCTTAGAAATCACATTCCCACATCTTGTGCTTTTTATAGTCCTCTTCCCCTGGACATTGGTGCCTTTCTCATCACCAGTTTCCTCTGAGACCCCGAGTGCTCCTCTTCATCTCTGTGAAGGCTTGCTCTTCCCAAGTATCAGTTTCATTTCTCTCTCCTTTTCTGGCAAGATAGTCATTCCTCAAGGATATTGCCTTGGCCCTCTGACAGTCTCTGTCTTTGCCTTTCACATTTTTTATTGCATTCTCTATTTTGATGATGTGAGATATTTATCTCAAGCCCTGGCTTCTCTTTCTGGCAAACAGTTTCTCATCTTTAACTCCCTGCTGGTTATCTCTATCTAGATATCTTTTTCTACTCTATGTTTATGAGGGAATAGATACTGTGGAAGCAAATAATTCTAACTTCTAAATGATGCAGCATAGTAAAAGTTTGACTTACTGAAATTGTTTTTGGTGTATATCTATCATTATTTTATTCTAGTAATTGTAGAAGTAAGTATAAGTTAGTTTCAAGTAACATGCTTCCTGAAGGTTATGGAATACTTAAATATTAGGAAAATTGACCACTAAAAATATTTAAATGTTTTCTATAAAATGTAAATTGAAATAGTTATTTTAATTTTCATGTAACAATAGAGTTCTGTATTTTGGATTGATTCAAAATAAGTATAGGTAGTGAAAAGAACTATCTTTTGTAAAATGAGTGTTTTTCATTGCTTGATATTTTGGGACTTAATTTTTATTTTTACAGAAGTTTCTTGTTTAAGTTAAATCTTTATTGCATTTTAGCACTGCGATTTACTTGGTGATGAACTCCTGGAATGTCTCTCTTGGAGACGAGGAGCCCTACTCTATATGTATTGTCATTCTCTGACCAAAAGGAGAGAGTGGCTCACGAAAAAATCTTGTTTGCTTAAAAAGGTAAATGGTATTCCTCATACATTTTGGATTATTGATATTTATAGGTTTCAGGAAGCTGTCTTTGATGTAATATTAAGAATAGTAGCATCAAAGAAGGGGGTTTATTCCGGTCTTTAGCATACTGGCTGTATGATCTTAAAAAAAAATTGTAATTATTATAAAGATTAAATAATTCATGAATGCTCTTTGTAAACTGGGAAGTCCTTTGTGCCTTTTCTTTATTTTCTGAGTTTTCAGTTTTTTAAATCTATGATAGAGAATTTATTAAGCATGTCTTTTCACTTGAAGAAAACAAACTTGGTTATGAATCTTTTTCCTACTAAAAAGAACTCTCATGACTCTACTCCTAGAAAATTGTAGCTCTCTGGTTCATCATCATTCTTTGGACCAAATCAATGAATCCAAAGACCCAGTCTTATTTTTGTGTCACTAAGGTTTCCAACCTGGGCTGATTGAACATATGGTTCATGTGGCCTGGAAGTGAGGGTGTTAAACTTTCAGATATGAAAGTCTGATCATAGTATTTCTCAATAAGAAGTGGATTCATCTTTTTGATGAATTTTGAACATATTTTTATTATCTTTATTCTTCCTCTGATAACATTTTTTCATAAATACAATATGGAATCTTGTATTTTGGTTAGTGATTTCTTTTTTTCCATACTCTTTACTAGTTGAAGCTTTTGAAAGTTATAAGTGTTTTGGGGTGGAGGGTCTTTTTAAATTGAAATGTAATATCTACAAGCTATAACTTCTTAGTAGCCAGTTTTCTCTTAGCTAAACCGGGGGGATAAAAATTAACATTTAAGGTTACTATAGCTTAACATATCTACTTTCAATTCTTTGATTTTGACTTTTCATTTAGTACCTTGTTGATGGAATCAGTTACTTGCTACAGATGTTAAATTTTCGGTGTCCTATCCAGTTAAATGAAGGAGTTTCTTTCCAGGATCTAGACACAGCTAAATTATTAAGTGAAGGTAAGTGATTTCTTTTTGAAGTTTTCTAAGTGTTTTATGAAGAATATTAGATTTCACTCTGACTCAAGTTTTTAAATTACATTCTGATCAACTTATAAAAGCACTTTCAAAGAATGAAAAAAATTTTCACCTAGTATCTGATTAGTAACCTCCCTGTTTAGTAGTTTTGGGAGAGTTGTACATGATTTTGCTTTTACTGATTCTGTATACCAACATAACCCTAATTTGGGACTAATTTTGCTCCCTTGTAACAGAGACATCTTTTTTTTTTAACAAAAGTTTATTTTTACATCATTTTGTACATTTTTTTTCCATCTCAATTGTAATCCCATCACCAAGTCACCCGTGTGGCATCACCATGATCCCGTTTCCCTCCCCCCCCCCCCCCATTTTTGATCCCATTCCCCACTCCACCCCCCGCAAAATGTCTAACAGAGACATCTTTTAAACAAGGTTTAAACAAGCTTTAAAAGAAGGTTTTCACATAGCAAAAGGTCCAGGACTGGTATAGTAACTTGATGATATCACCAGGTTTCTGTCCTTTTCATCCATCTTCTTTAGAACAAGAGTCCTTCAACTTCAGTGGGAGGCTGGTTGTATCTTGTAAACAGCTCTGCCCAGATTTGTGCCTGGCCTCCCTATTGAGGATATTGTTTCCACTCTCAGTATCCCAAGATGCTGTTGGAGCTGCTTACACTGTCGCCTGCATTGCGGCTATAGAAATGGCAAAGTGATGTTTCTTTTGGCTAAGTCTTCTCCTTTGAGGCCACCTTTTCAGAAGTTTCTTACACTTCCATTTACAAATTACTGCCAGGATTTAATCATGGCTTCAATAGCTACTGGGAATATAGTACGTATGGCCCTTTACCTGATAAATTAATCATCCCAAATAAAATTAAGTCTCCTTACTATGGAAGAAGATAAGCTTCTGCCATAAAAACCTATGTACTTAAAATTGCTAGGAGCTGAAGAGAGGAATCACTCGGGATTTAGACAGGCCTGGGAAGGAAGAGCTTACATTCTCCACTTTTACTACTTTTTAGTAAGTGGAGAATGGAGGTCCCCATATAACCCAGATGGCCCTGTTTCAGGTCATGTTCATGGCAAGTGGTAGAGCATATGCGTAAACTGTCTTTTATACTTTATTTGATATTTTGAGAGGGAAAAGTCAAAAATGGGAAGAAGAAAAAAATTTCTTAGGGAAATAAGTATATTTTAATTCTTTGTTAGCTTCTCTAGGCTTTTTTATGGCATAGAATAAACAACATGATTTAAGTGTCAACATACTTGCAGTTAATTGAGCTAAATAGCTTTTCCTATAAACTTACTTTAAGTACAAGCTCCCCTTCAGTGTGCATGATATTTTGATAAATAATGGAGTATTTTGATTTACTATGGGAAGATTTACTCTAGATAACTCGTGAACTGATTAGGCATTGAAGATAACATAAAATCTTCTCACACATCATTATGGATTGATTTTTTTTTTAAAGATTTATTTATTTGTGCATACAGAACTGGGGTACAGACCAGAGGCTCAGGGGCAGCGAGAGGCTTCACCAGAGACAGAGTGGGGAGCAGAACAGGCAGATCAACGAAGTACACTGCTGAGGGGAGCAACGGGCTGGTCAGGGGAGGTCTGCCGCGCCATGTGGTCACCTCTGGGGCAGGTGGGAATCGAACTCATGCAGAAGGGGCTTTAGATTCTCAGTGCTGTGCTTTAACCCGCTGCGCCACCAGGGAGGGCCCATATGGTTGATTTTAAAGAAAAAGTACAGGTGGGCACTAAAGCCTGTTTAGAACCAAAGAAACACACATCACTGATTTCCCTTTCTTTTCCATTTCTAGTATAAGGTCAGAAACTCTCATGGCCTAGAGTTTTTCCTTCAGGATACTTAAAATACTGATGTCTTCTCTTAGACCATAAATTGATTTCACTGTTCCCAAGTTTCCATTGCTTCTTCCACAGGGGTATCATACAATCTTTTTTTTTTTTTTTTTAGGAAAATACTGGCTTGGTAGCAGTTGTGTATTGCCAGTTCTCTCTTGCTACTGGCTTCTTGTTCTAGCAGGTTGCTTCTTCCCTAATCACCTCTCTTGAGGTGGTGGAATTAGAAGCCAGGAAACACAATTTTCAGAGGCTATATTACAGGGTCATAAGACCCTGTGGAAAGGCTCTAATTTTTTTATTAATAAATATAAAACATAATTATGAATAATCTTTAATACTCATTAGGAAAGGTCCTGTGGCTCATTAAAATATTTTTGTTGTTAGAACTTCATGATATATTGCTTATCCATGGAAAAAACTCAAAAGTACACACTTAGTATGGTTTTTAGTTCTTTATCCAAGGAAAGATAATCATTTCATCTTTTGATCGTTATACCTGTGTGTGATTAAATTTTCAGCTTTTAGAAATTGCCAGGTAATATATTCAGTTAATGTCTACTCCATTGTTAAGCCTCATTACTCTGTGGGCTCTTGTCAAATAGCTAGCTGTATCAGAAAATCCCTGGAGGCAAATGGGTTAAATCGGAGTACTCTACAGTGTAGCACAAATTGATTCCCTTTTGATACCACTGAGCAGATACAGAAACACACACCCCTTCCCTTTCCTCTTCCCCTGCCCAGGAGCCTTTTTGTCCCAGAACCTGGATCTCAGATCCCCAAAAGTAGTAGCTCTGAATTGGCATCACTGATTGCCTGGAAAGCTTGTTTAAGATAGAGATTTCTGTGTAGTGTATCACCTGCAGGTTCTGACTCAATAACTGGGTCCAGAAGTCTAACTTTAGTTGTTCCTCTAATTATGTTGCAACCAGATTCAGCCGTCACTGCTCCTGGGGGTTGTCAGTTTGGCCAGATATTTTCTGTAAAAGTCATTTTCCTCCTCTTCATAGGTTATTCTCCCTTTCTCTCCCTGCACCACCCACTGTCACATCTGTGTGCACTATAGACATGCATATTGAAAAAATGAGTGTTTTATTGAAAACCATGCTGAATCTTAACAGAAAAAGAAAATATAAAGGAAAACTGGTAGCAGCAAAGAGACTATAGCTACAGAGTAATGGAGACCTTAGGGGCGTGGAGAGGGAGAAAGTGCCTAATGTCTTCTTTGTTCATCTCTCCCTTTGATATTTTTACACAGTTGAACTTAACTTAGTGGATCAGTAGCATCACTATTGTTCAAGGTATTAGGAACTTGTTAAGAATTCAGTTCATAATGCTAAACCCATCCCTCATCTGAAACTCTGGGTTTATCAGTTAACAATTTTCTAGCATATTGTTCAGCCTAAAATTTGGAAACCACTCTTTAGCATGTAGCCATTCATGCTATTCCTGGTAACACCTTCCCACAATGTATCTGTGTATTTTGTTTAGTCACCTGTTTAGTCCTCACTCCTTGTTAATGTCAAGAATCCAGCTAGCTTAGAAGTAGCCTTAAATTGGATCCTCCGTCTCCTTTAGGCAAACACTTCTCATCTTCCCCAAGTGACTTCACTCTGTGTCCTCCTCCCAAGACTAGCCCCTTTCACAATTACATACATTTTGCTTCTATCTCTTTACTCCTCTCCACCAGTCTAATTTTAGGGTGACTAGGCAGAGTGTAAGTAGGGTCATACAAATATAAAGATTATGCATTCAATGAAATGCAGTATCTAATAGAAAATGTAAACCTGAATAGCATACCATGGTGGTTTCTGTTTTTTTCTCTGAAGTATATGATCTTTTAACTTTGAAGGAATAATGTAAAATGACCATGTATAATACATGGTGTTCTTATTGATACGGTGTAGCCTATCACTTTTTCATGAATGCAAGCTTGAAACTCTGCTATTAAGTGATTATTTCTGTTCATTGACATGGCAGTTGAAGGAGCCAACTCTTCGGTTAAACTTGTTTCTTTTTCTATGATTTTTAAACTGCACTTGAAAGAACAAATTCTGAGAACAAAAGCTTGTAGTACATCTAAGGTAGTAGAAATCAGAAGAAGTTTTAAAGCTGATTTTTTCTTCTACTTTTATGTCTGTAATACCACTGTAATTATTTCTGATAAGCCATATATTAGGTACACACTTGATTTGATGAGACTCATTTATTTGTTTTTTGGAATAAGTTAAATAGCCCATATGTTATAATAACTTTCTGGTTTCTACGACTTTTATTCATATATTCTTTAATTTAACTCCATAAAATAAGTAGAGCTCTGAATCTTCATTTTTCCAGTTGAAAAACTCAAAGAACGTTGGTGTATTGTCCAAAATCATAGTCTATAATTTATGCCCAGATCTTTTCAATTCTTTTGTATACCGATTACATAAACACCTATCCAAAATAAGTTTACAACTTAAATTTTTTTAATGTGATTTTTCTTCTTATATTGTTGTTAGTTTTTGGATAATATATGACTTTCCCCCTCTGATGTGGTCACCATAATTCTCCTACCACTAAAACTTCGTAGCCCCACCATTGTTCTTTTTTTTTTTAATTTACAATAGTTTGTTTTTACATCATTTTGTACATTTTCCATCTCAATTGTAATCCCATGGGCTTCCCATAACCAAATCACCCATACGGATGCCATCACCATAGTCCAGTGTATTTCTCTCCCCCCACTGTTTTGATCCTATTCCCCACTGCACCCCCGTAAAATGTCTCTGGTATATAGCTGTTCATCATCATTATTATTATTATTATTATTATTTTCTCACCTGGTCCGTTATACCCCTGTTATGAGTGAAACCATCCGGTATTTTTCCTTCTTTCTAGCTTATTGCATTAAGCATGATCTTTTCTGGCTCCATCCATGTTGCTGCAAAAGGAATGTGCTTATTTTTTTTGGGGGGGTGCTGAGTAATATTCCATTGTGTATATATACCTCATCTTTTTAATCCAGTCATCCATTTTTGGGCATTTGGATTGTTTCCATGTCCTTCCAGTTGTAAATAAAGCAGCAATAAACAGCCCCACTATTGTTCTTATCCCCATGCTTGCTACTTTCGATGAAAATTCTGCAGTGTGTTTTTTCCTAGAAACATAAAACATCTTACCTATAATTTAAAATCTCTGGTAATTTAAAATTACCTGTGTTTTTTTTTAAGATTTTTTTATTTGTGCATACATACAGAACTGGGGTACGGGCCAGAGGCTCAGGGGTGGCGAGAGGCTTCACCAGAGCCAAGTGGC